AATACTATGAATAATCGTTGGTCAACAAATTAGATAATTTAGATGAAATGAATAAATTCCTAGAAACACACCACCTACCAAGACTGAATTATGAAAAACAGAGAGTTTGAACAGAACTATAGCTAGTAAGATGAGTGATTATCACTTTTTGGATTCCTGATGCAGGACTCCCTTGAGTATTTCTTGTAGGGCTGGTCATGAGGTGGTGAACTCCTGCAGTTTTGTTTGTCTTGAAAATACACTATTTTTTCTCTCATTTCTGAAGGATAGCCTGGCTGGGTATAGTTTTCTTGGCTGGCAGTTTGTTTCTATTAGTATTTTGCATATATCATCTCACTTTCTTCTGGCCTGTAGAGTTTCTGTTGAGAAGGCTGCTGTTAGTCTGATAGGGTCTCCCTTATAGGTGACCTGATGCTTTTCTCTTACTTCCTTTAAAATTCTCTTTGTCTTTGAGCTTTGACAGTTTAACTATAAGGTGTCTTGGAGAGGATGATTTTGGGTCGAATCTGTTTGGGGATCTTTGAGCCTCCTGGATCTGAATGTCTGTATATCTCCTCATACCAGGAAAGTTTTCTGTTATTATTTCATTGAATAGATTTTCATGTCTTTCCTTTCTCCTCCCCTTCCATAACACACATGATTCGAATGTTTGTGCATTTAAGGTTGTCTGCTCTCTCTCTTAGATTTTCTTCATTATTTAAAATCCTTTTTTCCTTTTTTTTTTTTTTAATCTGCCTGGGTTATTTTGAAAAGACTATCTTTAACATCAGAAATTGTTTCTTCTGCTTGTTCTAGCCTGCTGCTTAAGCTCTCAGTTGGGTTTTCCATTTTGTTGAGTGAATTTTTCAGTTTCATGAGTTCTGCTACATTCTTTTTTAAGGCATTAATCTCTCTGTGAATTTCCTCCTTCATATTCTCAATTTTTTCTCATTTTATTATGTTGTCTAACTGAGTCTTCTCGTATCTCCATGAGTTTCCTTAAGATTGTTGCTCATAATTCCTTTTCAGTCATTTCAAGATATTCCTGATCTATAGGGTCTGGTATTTGAGAATTACTATATTCTTTTGGTGGTGTCATACTTCTTTGGGTTTTCATATTTCTAGTATCTCTACATTGATGTCTGGTCATCTGGTAGAGCAGTTGCTTCTTCTATTACTCTGGAGTGGGCTTTGAGGAAAGAGATGTCCTCTTCCTTTTCTGGTATCTGCTGGTGACTCTCCTTGTGTCTCCACAGTTGAGTGTCTGGTGGGCTGTCTGCACAGCAGCTGTGGCTACTGCTGTGGCATCAAGCTGCTTATTTGGCAGCCGTGGCTGTGGTGGGCCACCCATGTGAAAATGTTGTTTTCTGCATGCTTCCTGCCTGCTTCTGGGCTGGGGATGCCGCCCTTGTCTCCTGCCTAGGACCCTGGGCATGCTCTGTTTCTTCTCTGTTTCTGGGCAGAGGGGGCCTGCCCTCAGCTCCTTCCTAGGACCCTGGGCATCTAATTCCTAGAATATTTATTAAACATCTAATATGTGCCAGACATTGTGCTATAGACTATAGATAAAGAAATGAAGAAGACATATTCAGTCCTTATCGTTAAAGATCTTATAGTCAGAGAGAGAAATGATTAAATAATAATTCCCTGCAGGAGACAAGTGTTATGGTACAGGAAGACTAGAGAGCCTGAGAACATCTACAAGAAGCACCTAATGCAGACATGGTGGGTCAGGAGGGCTTCCCAGAGCCTGAGTAAGAGACACCTAAGCTGATACCAGAAGGATAAGTAGAAGTTACCCACACAATAGCAATGAAGGAGTAAAGAGTGTGCAAGTGAGAGGGTATGTAGGTGGGGTTTGCTTGTGGGTGAAGAGTAGCAGGAGATGGGGGTGAGAAAGCTCACAGAAGCCAGATCACGGTAGGCTTTGGAGACCAGATTAAGGAGCATGACCATTATCCAATGGCAATGGGAATCCACTGAAGGATTTTAATCAGAAGAATGACATGATCAAATTTGTGTTTTAGGAAGGTCACTCTAAATAGTGAGTGGATTGAAGAGCAGAAGGCAAAACTGGCAGTGACCAGTCAGAAGGCTGAACAGTAATCTAGACTACAGAAGTATTGGGGATATGAAGTGCCTTGGACGACTTCCTGAGATTAGGAGAAGAATCCAAAGTACTGATTGATTAATTATGGGAATGAATCAATAGAAAGAGTCAAGGCTACCTCCAGGTTTATGTCTTGAATAGAAATATGAAAAATATGCAATAGGAAGATAGAAAGCAACTTTACTCTTGGAATACTAAAAACTTAGAGGTAGTGTCTTAACAAGTAAGAAGCCCTTAAAAAGATGGAAGCATGATACCACAAATAGTTAAAAAAAGATTTTTTCCTACTTTAGATAAAGGATGCCTTTTCTAATTGTAAAGGCCTTAGTGTCACTAGGTACTTTTCAATATTCATTTGTGAGCAGAAATTTAGGGTTTTAGTAATTAGTCTAACAAATAATTAAATATCTCTAATGTTGGTTCATGAAAATGTGAAACTGTTACTGCTAAAAGTCATGCAATTTCTCACTGAATCAATGAAAATTCTGTGCACATCTGCATTTGTTCTGATTGTTGTGTTCCTGGAAGGAGCTTATGTTCTGATCAATGACTGAAGTTTATTCAGCCCCTAACTGTGAATTAAATAAGCAGCTGCTGGAAATGTCAGCAAAGTCACATAAAAGAATTTTGATTCAGTGCTGTTTTACTATTAAATAATCAGTGTTTGTGTCACATTGAATTGAGGTAGAAGTGCCTTGTGGCTGTTCTTTCTACCAGGAGGTGCTTTAAAATACCCTTCTCTTTACTTACATTAAAATCAAGAGGACAGCATGGATACATTATAGATACAGGTGGCTGAACCAGTTGAATGAAGTCACTTTTTTTAAATGCACAGTTCAATCTTTCCTGTTTGTCTGCTCTGTGATAACTCTTGAACATCTGACTGATTATCATCCTATTTGGCATACTACTAAAGAATAATTGGACATAACTTAGGTTAGATGTGTGGATCAAGCTTCTATCCTAAAACAACATGATGGCTAATATTTTAAAATTTCCTTTTTATAGTGATCATATCTGTGTAAGGAAAATGTCTTTGTTTCTATAAATATATGATTAGGAGTTGCTGAAATATAAACTAGCTTTTTATAAAATTAGCCTCTTCTAATAAAACAAAAGGCAAAACTCTTATAAGAAAATTACCATTGCCAACATGACACATTTGTCAGAGGAAGGGAGGAAGGAAGGAGGTGGGGGAAGGGAGAGCAAGAGAGAGAGGGAATGAGAGAGAGAGAGCTACCAAACTACATTTTCCACTGTTAGTCACTGCATGATGTGATTATTAAGCCTAACCACTTCCACACAACATGACTGAGAACCTCCTAAAATTATTACTGATAAAAAGAAAAATCCACCCCAACAAATACCACTGTAAAGAAATGGTTCTACTGGGCCGGCCCGGTGGCGCACTGCTACAGTGCACCACTTGGGAGCGCGGCGGCGCTCCCGCCGAGGGTTCGGATCCCACATACGGACCAGTTCCCGCTCACTGGCTGAGCGAGGTGTGGCGCAGCACCGAGGGTTGCGATACCGTTGCCGGTCCCGGTCTGGTGCGGGCGCGACACTGAGGGTTGCGATCCGTTGCCGGACACGAAAAAAGACAAAATGGAAAAAAAAAAAAAAAAGAAAGAAATGGTTCTACTTAAAAGATATTTTCATATGATTATCAGTGGCAGGGTCAACACCAAAGTCCACTGTTATTTCAGCTATTAGAAGATCTCTATGCAGCCAATGTTTTCTCTCCTCCCTGTCATTTTAACAGTAATTCTCTAGAATAAATATAACTGATTATAGTCCTTTAATTGGGTATGGGGAGAAATGGGGCTAAGGGAATGTGAAACATGGAAAGAAGAACAGAGTCTGCTCTCATTTAACCACGGATCTTTTGTTTTTCCTCTAGGTACTGACATTAGAAGTACCTGCGTTTAGATCCAGGGTGTGTTCTCTTTCTTAGGGAGGTTATTTGGTATCTTTGCACTATAGTTTCCTCTTCTATAAAATACGGTGCATGAATATATTTCTCTTGGGGTTGTTGTGAGGATTAAATGTGTACAAATTGCCAGTCACACCCTAAGTGCTCAATAAATGCTACTCTGCTCTTCAACTACCTTCATACAGTCCCACTTCAAAGACCCCAGAATCCCAGTAATAAAACACATAAACAGGAAGCACAAAATAAGGTACTGATGTAGAAAACACAAGGTAAGAGTTAGGTCAATCAGTGTGTTACATTATTCTCCTTCTCCTCATGGGTTCAAAGTTAATTTTCATATGTTAATTTGTTCCTTTCATCTCAGAGTATTGGACTCTGATTCCCAGCTATGTATTTATTATGATAAAATTTCAGGTCAGTAGAGCAATTTGGACTTCTAATATAATGTGTTATGCTGCATCATTGTTATCACTTTATTATCTATTAACAAAGCACTTTATGTGAATGATATCACATACAAATAACAAATTATATTTTCACAACTCAAAATGGATGTCCAAGGTGAAAATCTGCTGTAATATTTTGTAAGCCCACACTAGCTGTGCATCTGGGATTTCAAAGTCCCTGAATATCTTTCTATGTAAACCACCGGTTTGGTTCAACTTCTTCAAAATATTTTTCTCCTTATTTAATTTTACTCATTTTTCATTTTCATCCTGAAACTCTATTTCCTGTAGACAATAAACATGAGGTTGTCTTAGAACAGATAAGATGCCCAGAACTGATTCCAAAATCGTGCAATTGATTCCAGAAGAGTGCAGTATGTTTCCTTGTTGACAGGGGACACACGGGTTATAAATGCATCCTCATTTAAAACACTAAAGAAAAACAAAAGCCTTCCTTAAGAAAGAAAGAAGAAAAAAAAAAAATCCTGCCCTAGAACCTTGGGAAAAAGTCAAGATAGTCAAGGTGATTTACCGATTAATATTTCTGAGAGCTGAAGGTTTCACTTTAATAAGATTGTCCAAGTCTTGGCTGTATAAAAGAGAAAAAAAAAAGTTTGGATTAGTAGTAGGTTTTCAGGTTGTGTCAGGTCATAAAGCAACATTATAAATGCACTTCATTCAGGGGGAACAGACAGATAAAAACATGAATTGACTGCTTTTATTTGATTACCTGTGATTGCTTCTGATTACTGCAGGATTCACTTTGATGAGATTATCGAGATCCTGGTTTCTTTAAATAGAAAAATAAAAAGAAAACAAGTTAATTATAAAGTTCTTTTGGTAACATCATTAAGGTTATAAATCTGCTTGAAATAATAATAAAACCAAATGTTCTTCCTGACCAAAGCACATTAAAAACAATATAGTTTCATTACCTTCGGTTGTTTTCGAAAATGTCAGGTTTCACTTTGATGAGCTTATCAAGATCTTGCTTTCTTTAAGTGGAAAAAAGATTAAAGCAGCTTGGGTTAGAGATAATATGGGTCAAAGGTCATTGAAAATGGGAAGAAAGGATTATAGTATAAGACACTGTTTTATAGTATGAGACACATGGTGTAGAATAGCCATGAAATATGTTTTCTAACCAAACCAGGGGAGAAAGAATTACGCTGTATCAGAAAGAAACACTCTGAGTCCACACATTTTATTGCCAGAGGCTTTCTACAAGGGCATGCTGGTTAAGTGTTCTACAGCAAATATCTGGTGATTGACAATTTTTCACTCCGGAATGTTTTCACATGAAGATACGAACTGATTCTAATGTCCCTGTCATTTTTTAAATCATGCTCACCAGCTAAAGATATCATTTTTTTTTACAAGGGCATGCTGGTTAAGTGTTCTACAGCAAATATCTGGTGATTGACAATTTTTCACTCTGGAATGTTTTCACATGAAGATACGAACTGATTCTAATGTCCCTGTCATTTTTTAAATCATGCTCACCAACTAAAGATATCATTTTTTTAAAAAAAATAAGCTCTAAAACTGGGGTTATTCTTAATATAATACTTGGCAAAGAGAGTTCAAACAATCCATCAAAATTGTGACTTTTCTTTCCTCTGTGATAACTGAAGAACTGAATAAAACTCAGTCATTCACACTCAAGTTACCTACACACTCTGAAAACATCTGAAACTCCACCAGCTTCTTTCTTCAGCCACAGAAGAGTATTTTGTCCCATATAGTTTGCTATCATTCACTGCCTCAGTATAACACCTTGTTTTTAAAGGCTGGAAAGTAGTGATTTTTCAAAGTGTTCCTCTAAACCCATTTTTAATATTTAATCAGAGAAATACATGGCAGTCACCATGACAAAAAAATGGCAGGACTGATAATACCTGCTTCCAGTACCATCTGGGATGGCAACCTGCCTGTACTCCATTTCCCCCCAACAGTCCTGTTTTCTCACATAAAAATAAAATAGATTTTATTCATCAAGAAGATTGATGCAAGGTTATGAACTGAAGGGAGCCATTTAGAGATGAATCATCAGAAAAGTCTGAGAAAAAGTCTGCGTTTTCCTTGCCAGGCTACAGCCCTTCCATGGAATGTGCTTTCCAGCTCATGGCTCCGTTAGGTTTGATAAGCTCATTCTGGTTCTCACATCTCCATGGTAGATGGAAAGACCCTAACTGGATTTTCACTATTTGGGGTTGTCATTGATAATAATATTCTCAATTAAAGAAAATCAATTGGTTTCTAGAAATACTATTAAAAGAATGATTGGCATATGAGAACTATGCAAAATATAATTTTCTTCTGTAAATTGATTGCAAAATCTGTTATAATACTGTATAATACTGTTGTACCAGAAAGACAACAGTCCTTAAAATAAGGTTAATTTCACATATTAAAATTAAAAATAATGCTGATGGTCAGCTCTGTGCCCCATGAATATGTAAAATCCATAAAAATTTTTTAAAGAAAAAGAAAAAATACAAAGAATAAATCTTTGTAGAAGAGACAGCATGTTCAAAAACCAGAAATTTTTTAATATATAAAATTAATCACAATTTTTTCAGTGTAACTATGTATTATTTTCACATGCCAGTAAAATTAAGAGTAAATGGCATAGAAAATGCAAAAACAAACATGTGGATTTCCATTTTCACTGTTCTGCTGAGCACAGAAAATTTGATTCATTCAATAACCTAGAACAATGGTATTCAAACCACTGTTTCATAAAGCCCAGTAAAAAAGGCATTTTACATCACAGCCTAATACTCGCTTTCACACACACATTAAAATGTAAATTTCATGAAATAATACCCTTACCACATAAAAACTCTCATATTTGCTATTCAAGTCATTCTATTTAATTGGGGGACTATGCTGATTGCCAACCACTAAATTAATTATATGACTCTTTAATGGGTCACAAGCCACAGTTTGAGAAACAGTAGCTTAGAAAACATAAATATATGCTCTATCCTACCACTATTCTAAAAAGGCAACATCTCATGTTAATAAAACAAAGATCTTAGTAACAGTCCTGAATTACCTTGATTGATAGCATTATGTAATTTTTGAAAACAGCAAATATATCAGACTTTTTTTCAGGCCCCAGGTCCAAAAGATGAAGCAAGCTTTTATCTAATTATTATTCAGGGAAAATGTAACCTTTTTTCTACTCAAGTTACTGCTTTCATTTATTTTGCTTTAAGGATATAATAAAGGAAACATAAGAATATTTAGGTATTATTACTTCCATGTAATTTATTTTATTTTTATTTTTATTTTTTTTCCTTTTTGTCTTTTTTCGTGTCTGGCAACGGATCACAACCCTCAGTGTTGCTCCCACACCTCGCTCAGCCAGTGAGCGGGAACCGGTCTGTATGTGGGATCTGAACCCTTGGTGGGAGCGCCACTGCGCTCCCAAGCGGCGCACTGTAGCAGTGCGCCACCGGTCCAGCCCGACTTCCATGTAATTTAAAAACTGTAAAGTATTTCGCACTCATTTGCACATTTGTGCCATTGTAATCTATGGGGTAACCCTTCAAGTGACCCTGTGAGAACAGTAAAGGACACCTCCTGGCTGTCCCACAATAAGAACAACAATCCTATCTTTATAGCCTCCACTATTTCCCTAGGTGCTTAATTAATTTCCATATATTTTAAGAACAAAGTCTATGTGCTGCTGTATCAAGACCAGGGTTTGGGCTGGAAGTTAGAAGACCTCACAGAAGACCATGAGATTTTTGCCCCTGGACTCAGCATTCTCACCTGTAAATGAGGAGATTGGATTGGATCATGTCCAAGGCTCTGTCCATCTCTAACATCTACTTCTAGAACTCTATAAAATTGTACTGCTTGTGGTGTTTATTTAATTAGCTTTTCAATGTCTCTTTTTCTTTTTAAATGCAACGCACTGATAATACATTCTATATTCAACCAGCCGTACGTGGGTGCTCCAAAATGTAATATTAAATTGACAACTTATTATTGTCTTGGAGTAACATCTCTACGCCCTGGTACATAATTAGCTTTAATCTATGTTAATTGCCTGCTGTTAATAAGATTGAGTATGTCTGCTGAATTATCTTTTTGGTGTCCACAGCCTATAATTATACCTAATGTGCAGCTAATGATACCTAGTCGTAGGCTGTGAACCCAGTAGGTGCTCAGTAATTATTCACTGCCTAAGACATCACAGGGCTACTATCAGTCTTCCACTAATTTTCTTTGTGACCTTGGTCAAATCATTTAACCCTTCTGGGTCTTAATTTCCTCTTCTGCAAAATGTGTAGGTTCAATTGAAACAGTGGTTTTCAAAATGATTCCAACTAACTAGATTCTCTAAGTTTCCTTCTTTTCATCTCTAAAATTTTATGATTTTCACATGTACCAACAAACCTTTAAAAAAGAAAATCATGAAAACATTCTTAATGTGTAATGATAGAAAAATCTTTATATAACCAGAGACAAAAAGTGAATTTCATTATCTTACAAATGCTACTTGAAGAATTATCAAATTTTAGGTCTCTAACTTTGCTGGAAACAACAAACCCTCTAAAGAACAATGAACCTCTTAAAATTTCCACTACCAAAAAACTCTTCCAACACAAAGTAAATGATATTATTAATGATGAGTCTAATGAAGTGTCTACATCTTTTTAAAAAATTAACTATCATTAATAAATTTTAGTCAATTCCAGAAAGGTATTAATACCAACAGGACACAAACAAAACAAAACATGAACAGCTGGTGGACTAGCAATGCTCCTCCAATCGCTCCCTTCACTCGCCTCACTTGAGGCTGGGAGAGGAGCAGGCACATCATACATTGTTTTCAGCTGCCTCTTTCTTGCTGCTAACAAGTAGATACATAGCTTTCCATGGACATATACAAAATCTGATGCTATTTCAAGACCTATATTTAATTTGCTCATAGAATAATTATAAGTCACTTATATTCATATTGTGCTTATTTAAAGAGAAACAAAAACAAAACAAATAAACAACATCCTTCTCTTACCCAGCGTTGTTTATGACAGCTTTGGGGCTTACACTGATTAGTTCATCAAGACCTTTTTCACTGCTAAAACAAAAGGTCAAATTCAATTGGAAATCAGCAAATTTCATTACTGGCATTGTTTTATTTTATTTTATTTTTGACAATGTAAATCATTCAATGGGCTCCTAGTGTAAAACATAATGTTACCAAGTTTCTACTTTATGTACATTAGTTATCATTTTTTAATCCTCAAAACAACTCAGTGAGGTAGATATTACCACCATCACCCCACCCCCAATTTGTAAATAAAGAAATTGAGCTTCAGAGGGGTTAAGACACTCCCTGGGGCTGATACCTAAAAGTGGCTGAGGGTGAACCAAAAAATTGGAACCACAGCAACTGGAGCCCAGACCCCACACTCTATCCCCTCAACACCCTTCCTCTCTCTTGTTCATAATAATCCCTTACATCTGCACAACGCTGTTTACCAACCTCATCTTCACGATAATTCTGTGAGAGGTAGCTTGGAGTTTCTCTGACATGCTTTTATTAACTTTTGCTCCAGTGTTTAATGGGTGTTAACTTCTCAAGAACAAAAGTAAATTCAATAGCACGCAAAAATATTCTAATCAGATATAGGAATGTTATATCATCAGTTTTCTCTTGAGTCATTTAAAAATTAATCCTTGGATTTGTAAATGAGTAGAAAGCCAATATTCTTTGGTTTATTGGTTTTATAAACTTATAATTTATTAACTACAAATTTACAGTAATAATCTGGTTATGTTATTACTGTGTCAAAAAGAATTTCTCAAGTAGTAATTATACAGAATTAGCTTCAGTATTATCATTTTAAACAATATTTAATGAAATAAATAGAAGAAATGATAAAAGAAAACTCTTTTCAGCATTATTACACATCAACAAATCAACTTGTCCTTACTTTTTAAAGTACCCTGTCAAAATATCCTTAGCCAAATAATTAACTTTATTTTTTAGCATAAATTGGAGACTTGCTCAGGAGTCTTCGATAATCTTAATAAACTTACCTTTTGTTTGCTGAGGGAATCGCTTTGATAAGGTTGTCCAGGTTTTGGTTCCTAAAGAAATGTTACAAGTTTCAATAGATGACAAAGTCAACTAAAATCAATAATTTTTACATGTTTAACCTCAATATTGAATCAAATGACTGTTATTTAAAACTTTGCCATTACTTTAATTGTCTTTTTAGCCCTATGTAAAAAAGGGGCTACTATCAATTCATTTCTTGCTCACCTTTGTGTATATGAGGATTTAATTTAGTTTTATTCTTGTTTCAAATCAACCTCAAAGCAAAATTACTCTTAAACTCCTTATTTTTCATATTATATTTATGTAGTAGAATTACAATTTAGAATATTTTTGGAGGTTGTAATGCACAAGAGAAAAATATAAAATTATTCATTTCCATGTGTTTCTTGTTACCCTCCCTTTCAAAAGAAACAACCAAACAAACAAAAAACTGGGACTTCTAAAAAATGAGTTTTTTCTTGACTGTAAGTTATGTAAGTAATAGACATAACATGAATACTGATGCTACTTTAAGACATTAGGTAAATCACTTCAGAATCACACTTCATGCAAAGGTAAATGATAACAGGCAAGACTTCAGATTATATAATTTATGTTTTTATTTAAACAGTCAAATATGCAATCATAATTCTAAAGAGATAATGCAATTATCACACTGGGATCTCATCCCAACCCTAACACCAAAAGGCCTGAACAAGAAGCCTAATTTGATATATTTTATTATTGGACAATACATTATATATCCTAAAAAGAAAACAGACCAGAAACGCTTATGTCACCTACCTAATCTTTGGGACTAATTTATAAACTCATTTTATTACGTACATGTAATCCTTCCGTGTAAATTATTGTATTCTATGATGTTGAACTGTATGAAATTGTCATTCTGTGAGTCAAAAATAGTCGAATGTAAGTAATTTCTTAAGGTTCAACCTAATAGGATGATTTCTTTGTATTTTCTTCAAATTAAGTGTTGAGTTATGGTATGGTGATTCAATGATGAAAAAAAGTAGTAGCAGTGATAAGGATACTGATAGATAATGTGTAATAAATAAGTACTTGAGCACTAAGTGTTTCACAAGTGTGATCACTTTTAATTTTTCTAACTCATGAAGAAGTTAACTCTTACAATCCCAGCCTTACAGATAAAGAAGCTGAGGCTTAAAGGAAATTAAGCAATTTGTCCAAGACTACAGCTGGTAAATGTTCTCTGAACTTAAAAATCTCACTACCGGGGCCGGCCCAGTGGCGCACTGCTACAGTGCGCCGCTTGGGAGCGCGGCGGCGCTCCCGCTGAGGGTTCGGATCCCACATACAGACCGGTTCCCGCTCACTGGCTGAGCGAGGTGCGGGCACGACACTGAGGGTTGCGATCCCGTTGCCGGTCCCGGTCCGGTACGGGCGTGACACTGAGGGTTGCGATCCGTTGCCGGACACGAAAAAAGACAAAAAGGAAAAATAAATAAATAAAAAATAAAAATCTCACTACCAAATAGAAAAAATGGACACACACCAAATGCAATGCATGGTAGCATGTGGCTACTGAAATAGAGGCTCAAACATTGAGCAAGAAAGGTCATATAGCTACGGCCATCATCACCTTTAGGAACAAAGTCATCTCAGGAGAGGGACAAAAGATAATTAATTGTCTTTCACTGAACCTTAATCTGTAATGTAAAGTATTATACAGCCTCTGAATTCAATGTCTGACTCTCAGACAATGACGATAAAGTTGTATTCTTATTTGGTGAGCAAAATCTCAGAACAATGTACCATTAAATATTCAGATAGAAGAGTGACAAAATCTTAGGTTTAACCATAAAGTGAATGAAACAATGCATATAAAAGTGGGGGGACAGCAGGTTGTATTTCTGAAGCCTCCTCTACTACATTGAGTTGATCCTCCTACTTGCCAAAATGAAATGCTATCTAGCCTAGGGGTTAGCAAACTGTGGCCCTCAAGCTAAATACAGACTGCAGCCTGGTTTTGTAAATAAAGTTTTATTGGAACACAGCCACTTCCATTTGTTTACAAGGTATTACTATGGCTCCTTTCATGCTACTGGCAGAGTTGACTAGTTAAAACAGACTGTTTTGACCCCCAAAACCTCAACTATGTACTATTTAGCCCTTTAAGAAAAAGCTGCTGACCTCTTTTCTTGTCTAAATAAGCTCTATTTGATAGCTACATACTATAAAAACAGAGAGCATTCCTACGTACAAAGTAAGATAGGAAATCGGTTGGAAAGATGATATATACCTTGGTATCTTTTGTATCAAACTCATATTCTGGCAGCATAACAATATATGTTTGTAGCTTCATGGTTTTGTCTCTTTATTTACTACAATGTGCCTTAGAGAAAATCTCTCTATATAAAAGACAAACGTCATTCTTTGTATTCTTTATTATTCAATGAACTGAGTATAATTTTTAAAAGTGATCTCCCAGTTTTAGGAATTGTTTGAGTAGAAGACAACAAGAAGAGAGGGAATAAATGATGGAAGAAGGAAGAAGACCTTTTTATCGCATGAAGAACTTCCTTTAGGATACTTAGCTCTAGAAAATTGCTTGAGAGTTGATGTTTTGTCCCATGAGGAATCCCTGTTCATTTTAAGAAAATCCCAAGCATGGAACACACATCCCATACTATTAAGCGTTCATTCCTGTATTTTGAGGAATTCCCTCTCCCACAAAAGCCTACAGCCAGTGAGCCTTAGGCAAGGGCTTGAACACCAGATTTCAGACACAGGAGTTGTTGATTTGGAGACCCATCACTGGTTGTCTCCATGGTGGGGCAATGCAGTTTCTCATACTTTTAAAGTTGCATATCAAGGAAGAGATGGAAGAACGCCATAAACCTTACCCTTGGTTAGTTCTATTAGTTTCAGGAGTCACTTTGATGAGGCTGTCAAGACTTTGGTTCCTTAAAAACATGGAAGAAATGACAAGATCAGTGATAAATTTAGATCAAATTTCTATAAATATTTGTCAAAACTCAGAAATACTTTTTATTATAAAATATTTATTTAAATAGAGATTATCTCAGTGGGTTGGAATTTTTCAGTATTGACTATGAATATGTCTGTTATGACCTAACTATAACTGCATAGAAATAATGAATAATGCCTAATGTTTTTTAGAAAATTTTTGATGTGCCAGGCACAGTTCTAAGTGTTCATATGATTTACCTAATTTAATCCTCATACTAACCCTATAACATAGGAAGTATTATCACCCTAAGATCATAGGAGGGAAAAACCGAGTCACAGAAGAATTAAGTAATTTTCCCCCATGGCTAGTAGAGGCAGGGCTAGGATTTAAAGCTAGGTAATCTAGCTCCAGAATGCTGTGCTTTACCATGACACCAACCGTCTTATTGGAACTTAGTAAGTGAATTAGCATTGGAAGTGTCTAGAGAGCACCTGGCCCAATTTCTTCACTTTGAGGATGAGAAAACTGAAGACCAAACTGGAGAAGCAACTAGACCAGGATCACACAGGTAGGAGGGGCACAGCCAGTCCTAGACTCACATCTCTGGGCTCCAGTTTACTTCTCTTTCTCCTCTACTGTGCCATCCCTTCTGCTTAAGAAAAATAAATATATCAACAAATGAAAATGTCCTGTCTATCCTGGGAAAACAACTGTGGACCTAATTAACCAAAGGGCACCTTCAATGTATAAGAAATCAATTGACCAAAATCTCTAACATTTCAGATATGAGGTAGTCAGGGTTACAAGACTTTTCCTGAACCATCCTTGGGTTCAGCATCGGTCAGAAAAATTGATGATTTAATTACACTTTTAAGCATTGGTTAGCATAAAATGGAAAAAGAGGAGCTTATTTCTTACCCTTGTACACTTCTTCCTGTTCTTGGATTCACTTTGATGAAGTTATTAAGGTCTTTGGAACTTTAAACAACAAAAACAACAACAACAAAAACAAAAACATGATGAACAAAAATAAAATTAAATCAACTGTCTGTTTTGATTTAAAGGATATATGTGCTCCATATAAATTTTACTATTAAGTTTTGAGAGAAATTAATACCAGTTATACCTTTAATTAATTTAAAAGAGTAAAAATGCTGAACTTCATACAAATCATTGATATACTGGCTTAGTTTTCCATTCACCCTCAAGATAAAACCATAAAAGTAGGGCAAGACTGAGTTTTTTAAAAAATAATTGATTCAGGAACAATGTAATGATTTGCCAAAAACTCTCACCCAATCCCCCTAAGCATTCCATCCAATGCTATAGCTATAACTAAACTGTGTTTTACTAACAATTTCTATTTGTAGTAGTTTTTTCTTTTAAAAGAATTTTATATCCATTTTTTCACTTTACAATTATCAAGTGGCAAAGATAGAACAAACATTATAATCCTCATTTTATAACTAAAGAAGCTGCAGCTCAGTGTTCAAGGGACTTGCTCAAACACACCCAGCTGGAAATGGAGTTCAGACTTTGTGATTCCAACCCAAAGGTTTTTCACACCTTTGGGTATGTAGCCAGTAGTGGGATTGCTGGATCATATGGCAGTTCTATCTGTAGTTGTTTGAGAAACTTCCATACTGTTTTCCACAATGGCTACATTAATTTAACTTACAGTCCCACCGACAGTGTGGAAGAATTCCCTTTCTCCTCATCCTTGTCAGCATTTGTTATTCTCTGTCTTTCAGATAATAGTCAGTCTAACTGGGGTGACAGGATATCTCAATGTGGTTTTGATTTGCATTTCCCTGATGATTAGTGATGTGATTACAACTTGTAATGAATGTGCTAATAATACTGATTTGATCATTACATATTGTACACAAATACTAATAATCAATTCTGTACCCCATAAATATGTATAATCAATTGTTTCAGTTAAAAAATAAATTTAAAAAAATTTTAAAAGGTTTTTCAACACATCTTCTCTGATTAGTGCCACAAATTGATGGGGAGGGAGAAGAAAGATAAGACATAATTCTCACCCTTGGTTACTTCTGTTAACTTCGGGGGTCACTTTGATGAGATTCTCAAGGCTCTGGCCCCTTTAAAACATTGAAGAAATGTTGAGATTAATGATAGACTGACAAGTGGATAAAACTCTTCATTAAAACTCAGAAACATTAAATATTCATTGAGATCATGTCAAAGAGTTGAAGATTGTTAAAGGTGACTGCAGAAGTATGTAGGGATGTATACCTCTCTGAAACTCATTGAGACTCAGTGAGACAATCTTTCAATCTTGGAGCTATTTGGCCACTAGCAAATATTACAATAAGACTCTTTCTATTCTGATACACTTAAAGTTATGCTCTTACCCTTTTCCAGGTGCACAAAACATTTTTGAAATACTCTACATACTTGTCTAATGGAACATTCCAGAAGGTATACCCTCTCAATATCAACCTCCAACATGTTGTGGAACTTTCAAAACAACGTCGGAGAACCATGTTTGTAAGATTGACTTTTATTAGCAGGCTATCACGAAATGGTATTAAGATAAATAGACCAATTTGTTAAAATCCATCACGCAACCTGGTGTCTGCTTCTGGTAATTAAAATTGTGTGTTAGAACTACAAATTTTGACTAGTTATTTTAACAACAAACAATAGGAAGATTAAAATCTATAGAGTTCTGAAATGTTCTGAAATGTAAGATGCATCAACTGTGATATAAAATTCTATGCAGTCACTGAAAACACGTCAGTGTATTTCCGTTGCCTTTTAGTATACACCTGCTTCTGATCTTAATGGAGTTTTGCTTTTCTTATTGTATCTACATGTGTTTTCCACATACACGACACCAACAAATGAGCCTCTGATCTACACAGGATGCCACATGGGGAAAAGAATGTCCACAAGAAGGTTTTTTACACTCTGTTTCTCCACACTCTGTGACCCTAGTAAGATCATATCAAAAAGTCTCTGAGGTTTTGTCTCTACAACATCAAAGATCCTGATATTTGGAAGCAATCAGATGTTGACTCAAGTTCTTTACTTGTTATCCAGATGTCTGAGTATGTAATACCCAGACTAAAAGCATCAATAAAAAATGTGGACCTTTGCCATGCAAATAATGAAACAACCCCACAGAAACAACCACTCTACTCCATTACTCCTCATTGATTTTTGCCTGAATGAAGTATGTGCAATTTGAATGCTGGTGACTGAGAAAAATAATTCCCAGGATTCTATTTCCAGATTGGAAAATTCAAAAAAATAACAGAACAATAAGTATTATAATTTCTCCCTTTGTGTTGGTTGTGGAGTTTGTTTTGATTACATTGTCAAGACTTTGATCTCTTTAAACATTAAACAAAGCCCATAACAGCATAATATTATTTAAATTTCATAGTTCATAAAGTCAATAAAAAAGAGTGGGCTAATTAATGTGGTAATCTACTAATTAATGTAATAATGTAAAATAATATTTGAGTTCAACTGTGTGAAGCAGTGCTACATAGTGAATGTATCTTCAGTAGTTACACATTTTTCAATCTACAAATAGTTTTGGAAAGCCCACTGTGGGCCGGGCTCTTCCCCAGGTGCTGGGATAGATGTGAACAATCCAGACACAGGATGAGCCCTCAGGAGGCTTCATTCTAACTTGGGGAGAGGCTGGCAATATACAATCAAACATATAAATGAATATGACAATTCCAGATAACAATATACACTATAAAGCAAATAAAAAAGAGTGCCTGGTGCTTGTAGTACTAGAAATGGGGGAGGGGTGGTGACTTAACACTATTCAGTGTTTGGAAACGACTTGTTTGACAAGGTGACAATATGGGATAGATCATTCCAGCAAGTGGGAACAGCAGATACAGAAGCCTTTAAGGCAGAATGAGCCTGAAATAGAAAAGATTAATTTGGATGGGCTTTATTGAGAAAGTAAAAGACTATCACTAAATGTTAGAATTTTATTCCACCTGAGATGGGAGAACATTGAAGTTTTAATAAGAAAAGGAGCATGATCTGACTTTATTTTTAAAAGATCTACAGAACTTTGTAATGTGTATAGAAAAAGGAAATGACAACCACTATCCTTAAAAGCCCCCAAGAAGTACACACATAACAAATGTACACACACACTGCACATACACTCACACACATGCAGGTACATACATATCCATATACATATGCACACATAACACAAAAGCACACACATATACTTACATAAATACTCATGAACACATAAGAAACATGCACATGTATGCAATCACACATGTACAATGTTCACACAAGCACACCCATGTGCATGTGCACTCACATACCCATGTAGGCATGCACGTACATATACATACTAACATATGAAGAACAACAGGTCACAATTTGAAATACTCTAATAAAGTTGGGAAAGGAAAAAATGGATTTTTCTTGGAAAATCAAAGTAAACTAAATATTTGAACACTGTCTAAATGGTCAAGAAAACATAATTCACCTTAATCTTTACTATTGTAACAATTATTTGTATCTACTATGTAACAGGCTTGGGAGTATTATGATCCCTCTTTTGCAGATGAGTAAATTGAGGCAGAAGGACACAGTTAACAAGTGACAGAGTCAGAATTTGAACCCAGGCCTTTTGGACTCCCTGTTCACATTCATTACTTCAGGTTACCTCCCTGAACCACTCAAGTAGCCAAGGAAATCAATGCTTTCTTCTCAGTCTGTTGGTTGCAGATGGTGCAAGCCTCTAATTTACTATGCCTTCTACCATGCCACACCACCAAGAGCAGGACAGCTTGACAGCATGCACACCAGCTTTTCATCTAGCTGAGCCCTTACTCTGCCAGCTAGGCTTGCAGACATCAGTGACACATTTTGGAATCAACAAATAATAGCATGTACTGAGTTAACTGAATGAAAAGGAGTTCAAGGGAAATCACATGGAGTTATTTGGTACACTGTTTTCAGCAACATGCCAACAAGCACAGTTTCAAAAATATTCCATCTGCTTTTTAAAAAATAAAAAGCAAGAGGACATAGCTCTCCAGACTTGCTTGATAATTCATGGGTAAGAGAACTCTCTTTAATGAAGTACACTTTGTTAAGCTCTGCATCTTTAAAAACATACCACACTACATACACATACATGTGCTACACACAGTTCACACATATACACATACGCAGGCACTACTTATATGTCCACATACACACTTGTTCACATACACATACTACTGATACATATAAACACATACACTTATATACATACGCACTACTGATACTTATGCACACACACATATATATATACACACACTACTGATACACACACACATACACTTATACATATACACACTACTTTACATAGACACATACACTCACACATACATTCAAAGAAATAGATCATTTTGCTCAGTAGAGAAGGTCAAAATTTAATTTAATTTCTCAAAATTACTTGATAACAAACTTCGCCCAAGAATCAAATACAAGAGACTTCCGTGAACCTGTATAGAATTGTTTAACGTCATGTGTTTGAATGAAGAAAAGCTCAGTTTTGGCTTGAATTTCAATTTATTCTCCTGAATACAAGCACTCAGAATTCTAATGTGCGTATAAATGCCAGACAAAGGGGAAAAAAAGCTTAAAATGTCTTACCTCTTTATATTCTTATTTGTTTCAGGATTCACTTTAATAAGCCCATCAAAGTCTTGTTTTCTTTGAATAAAGAAATGAATTTGAATGAATGTCGTTAAAACAAAACACTAATCAAGTGAATAATGGTTGAAAAAATTATGAAGTGGTAAATATATAAATTCTCTATCTCAACGTAAATTTTTAAAGCTCTAAATGCAAATGAAAATTTTTCTCATCTCTTGAGCTGAAGACCATTTAAGGTTGCTTATTTGTTAACAAGAAACATATGATTTTTTGTTTTGTTCTCAGGATGCATGTGTTTTCTTATTCGACAAAACCAACTTTGACTTTAGATATACCTTGTTAGAATACCCCAAACAGGCAGCATTGAAGTAATGTAAGTTAGATAAATTTCTACACTGGATCTAGCCAGAACATAAATTTCTACTCAACAAATTAGATATAATTTCCTATTCTGTTTTTGAATAAAAGAATAATGTTAATGATAATAATTTAATAAGATAATAACTTGACAATATATTAAAATAATGATAGTAATAAGAAGAATATACACCTTCATATAAACTCAACTATTGCTTTCACCCAAACTTTTAAAATATCATTTGCCTCAGAGTAGATTATGGTGAATTATAAAGGGCAAGAAAAAATACCTTCCATAGTAGGAAAATTAATGACTCACTTCTGAGGGGGACACGTGCCACTCCATTAAAATGCACTGACTGATACCAAAAGAGGCATAAGCTGAACCCAAAAGGGAAAGGAGGGGATGGCAGACACATTGTGATTGGGTACTGCCGCCATGACAACAGGAGACAAAGTGGTGGTAAGTCCTTCCTTCCTGTGCATGTACCTCCCCAGCCTCTCTCCTGGGCTGCCTTCTAAGACCATCCTCCTTAGAGATGTTGATTTGCAAGAGTTTTAGTCAAGGCTCACTCTTGGCTATCTTTGTTAATTTGGAAATCCACTTTGAAAATGTCAAGAATATGCATTGTTTAAACACAAAGAAATTCAATTTAGTAACTCATTCCTAAAAACAAATCAACCCAAAATCTGGGAGAAAAGGCAATTCATTATCAAACATTGGAGCAATTCTTCAAAAATTAGTGGTTTTATTGGGAGCAAAAAGGGATGGTCATAAAAAAATTGTTTTATCATCAGATCGATCATCATCACTTACAGAAACCAGAATTAAAGACACTAAGTCTTACCCTGTAATATTTCCATTTCCTTTGGGATTCACTTTGATAACATTGTCAAGGTCTTCACCTCTTTTAAAAAAAGTTTAGATCAGTTTCAAAATATTCCCATTGTATTTGATCTATACACATTCCATATTCTTGATGATTAATTCAAACTTTTGGAGAAAATTAACATACTGATATTAAATTGACTTTTAGTATAAAATTGTTTATCAATAATATAGCTAAATTAATCTCTAGAACTTCATTGGGCTATAGATAGAATATATTGCAGACTCTGAAGTAAAGATCGGTGCACCAGGGATCAGATACAGAAGAGAGAAGTCAAACCCGGAAATGTGATGCCCTCAATATCACTGAGAGGATCTCACAATTATTCTAGGGGAAAATAACCAATATCCAGAGACATCCAAGCAGTTCTCACCCTCTGCTGGTTTTCTCTGTCCTGGCATTCATTTTGATAATAGATTCGAGATCTTGGCTTCTTTGGAAAAAACATCAAAACTTTATGTCAGTTAATATTACATACAATTTTCTCTGAAATCTTCATAAACAAGAACATCTCCAAATGTGGTGTCAGATGTTTTCAGGACCAAATGACCAGGAAGACCTTTAATGTAATTATCCTTAGCTTAATTTCCATGGTCGTGCTTGATTTAAACCACTCTAAATCAGTTTAGAAAAGCTTACAACTTGCCTCTCACCTTGCAGCTTTGTCCTTTATATTTCTTAATTTAAATTCTGAAATTGACTAATTTTTTAACTATTTAAGAAAATATAGAATAAGAGATTATGTAGCAGGTTTTCCTGCACCCATTTCGATTCAACTCAAGTATGTGGTCTATGGAAACAGCAGTCATCGTATTCCTTTGCTTGCTAATTCTGATGAGTCTAAACAGTGCAACAGTCCATCTGTGACAGAGGAATGCAGAACACTTCCATTTCTAATAGGTGTAAAAAGCCAGCCTGAGAAAAGAGAGCCCCCTCAAGATAGAAGCTTTACTTACCCTTTCTCATTTGTGTCAGTCCTTTCATTAACTTTAATGAGACTTCCAAGGCCTTGGTTTCTTTATAACATGGGGGGGGGGGGGAGAAAAG